GAAAAAATTGACAACAATGGTACAAAGAAGTTGGCATAGCAAGACTACATCAGGGCTAGCACTCTGGCTGGTCGACTGCCAGCACAGCATGGTCGACCGCGTTCCAGCACGTCTTGGTCGACCGCGCTCCAGCAGTGCAAAGTCGACGGCGTGCCAACGTTGCAGATTGACGGCGTGCCAGCGCTGCTCCCGTAGAACAGCATCGCACCAGCTTCGCAGGTGCACGCAGATGATTGGCGTGCAGAGTCTCGTCACCTGCTCAGCGCACACACCAAGTCAACCTCGTGCTAATGACTGCCTCTGATCAGCCACGTCGACCTCGGGATACCACCACCGAGGTCGGGCTCCCCAACTTCGCCTGGGCGACCGTCGCACTCCTCCGCAGAACCTCGTCACCCAGGTAACCTGGTCGACCGGGCAACCACGTCGACCAGCTGCTCCCGTACGTGCCCGTCGACCTCCCAAGTCGACGGCCACCGCCAGTCGGCCTCACCAGGTCGACCACACCCCTGGTCGACCAGCTCCAGGTCGACGTCACTTTTGGTCGACCAGCTCCACGTCGACCAGCAGTCCTGGTCGACCAGCTTCATATCGACCAGCGCAGTTGTCGGCCGACCACCCAAGTCGGCTACCCGAAGTCGGCGGCATGAAGTTGACGCCCAGCTACTCGACGCCCAATTGCTCGGCGTCCTGAGTCGAGGTCGACGTCGGCCCCTCCTTCGTCGACCACCAGGTCAGGTCGACCACCAGCAGGTCGACCAGCAGGCCTGGTCGACCAACTACCAGGTCGACCAGCGGTCCGTCAGCCGACCACCGAAGTCGGCTGCCCCAAGTTGACATCACCAAGTTGACGTCCTCCGCAGGTCGACCTCCCAGGTCGACCTCCCTGAAGTCGGCGCCACCCTGAAGTCGGCGCCCATGCAGTGGCCCCCCGTGCAGGTCGACCTCCTTGTCAACCAGCTCGCCCACTGCTGCAGGTCGGCTGCTCCCCTCACACCCGACCACGAAGTCGGCTCCGCCCAAGCGAGGACGGGGCCAACACACAACTCCCATTGACAATCCATACCCCGAGCAGCCTTTCCGCATCATCCACCCCGACCCGTTTAAAACCGTCTGGCCTCCAAGGAGAGGAGCCCAGGTTCCGACCCAGCGGCATCACGACCGACTTGCCTTTGTTGGTTACCAGGCCTGAGATGCGCTCAAAGTACTCAATCAGCTTCCCCGCTTCAACAAACTGCTCCCTTCCTTGCAACAAATGTATGGTGTCGTCCGCGTAGCCCAGATACGGCAGCCTCCGCCCCGATCACTGATAATACCAAGCTGCTCTTCGTCGTTTCCCGAGCCAACGGCTTCACCGTGCAGATGAAGAGGTAAGGAGCGAGGGGGCAATCGTGCCAGACCCTGAAACAACGTCCAGTGCTTTACTCTTCTAGCCATTGACTGAAAGCCGCGTGCGCTTGGCTTTGTGCAGGCCTCTCACCCAATCCACAAACCATGGGGGGAAACCCTCCAAGGTCTCGAACAGTAAGCTACCCAAGACTATATCGAAGGCCTTTTGAAAATTGACTAGCAGCAGGAACCAGTCCTTATCTCTCTTGTTCGCCGCGTCAATTATGTCTGCAACCAAGCTGACGTCATCCGACAGCTTCTACCCCGTAATTAACCCATACTGCTCCAGTAAAATTACCCGGTGCAACACCTACTTCATACGGTCAGCAACGACTTTCGCCAGCACCTTGTAGGTAAAGTTAAGAAGCGTTACTGGACAGTAGTTATTCAACTGGTCCTTGGCACCCTTCTCATGCAGCAAAATTGTTACCGCTTCCTTTGTGCTTGCGGGGATCATCGCGGAGGCTGCGAAGGTGCGAGTGAGCCCCATGAAGCCTTGGCCCAAGATATCCCAATGCAGCTCGAAATGCTCCTTCGTGATCCCATCCAATCCTGGTGACTTCCCACAAACGAGTGCTTTGAAAGCGTCCCTGACCTACTGCTCCGTCCGGTCCTGGACCAGATCCTCCGCTTCCTCCGCTAACAGCCGGTGATTAAGTGACCAGGTCGTCCCGTGAATGCGCTTGTCCGCCCCCAAATGCCTGTTTAAGAAGTTAGCCGCAGATGATACCCTGCCTGCCGTTGACTAAGACACCGTTAACGTTGAGTTCTGCGATCTGAGTGCGCTGCTGGACTTTATTTTTGCAGAGAGATGCTTTGAAGCAACTTCCCCTTTGAGTTCGACACCATAGCCTGCCATCAGATGTTTCTTTAGTGTGAACAGTATCGGTGCAGCGAATTGCGACAAACTCGGTCGAATAAACTGTTTGTCGAGCAAGTAATCCAACTGCTTCCGCAGTTCGTCCAGTTCAGGTTGGGTCAGTCTGAACTGTCGCTGTACTCTCGGCTGTGCCCCCGGTTCCAGTTCTATCCTAAGGTAGTGCGGTCGCTGAGGTGGGAGTCCCTTTGGCAAATCGTCCGAAAAAAATCTCACTGTACTGCTTCAATTGCGCTGCCAAGTCATCCAGTACGTCAGCGAGAAGTTTCTGCAAGTCACTCGGCTTGTCTACTGCCTCAGCTTCCCGAATGTCAACCACATACACGTCAGCTCCTGCCGCTACGGCGCGTTTCATCGTGAACGCGTTGATACGCTCCGATGTGTCAGAGGTCCACTGGTGATCCCCGATTGTTCCTAGGGAAGGGTTACAGGCACGTTGGCTTGGGGGGTTATGGGCGCACTGACCCGCTACTTAACAAGCCCTTTTATCCCAATGGTCTAGTGGTTGGGATTCTGACACGATGAAGACTCAGGCAAGTTCCAGCGATGTAGGGCATGTTGTTACCATTTACTCGCATGGTGCAGTCACCCATCGTCCAGTCGATTCGTGGATTGTGTCGTCGCAACCAATCACGGCCGAGAAAAATATCGGTCCCGGCGAGGGTCGTTGCCAGCATTTCCTGGGTGAACGTGAAGCTACCCCTGCAGCGAATCCGAAATCAATCCACGCATTCCCGTATCGCCAGCTACGTGCTGTCAAGCAATGGTGCGTCGATCTCAGGTAAGAGTCGGTCGTTTCAATCTCCGAGCAGTTGCGATGTTGATCAGGCTGTGGCTAGCCCCTCCATCTACGAAGCATCCGTCTAAGTCTGTCTGTATTTTCCCGCTAAGCAGTATAGGACTGTTTACCATTGTAGCCTCCTTATTGGGCGGGTGTGGTCGATTGCGTGAACCGGCACAATTACTCGATGAGGGTCGGTTGGCTCGGGCAAGCGGCGTGACGTTTGAGTAGAGGGCCCATCTGCAACTGACTGCCAGCGTTTCCCTGTTGCTTGGTCCGTTTCTGCTGCTCAGCTTCCCCCTTTCCCTTAGCGTTTTCCTGGCATTCGCTCTTACGGTGCCCCGGCCTGTTGCACGCGAAGCAGCGCCTTGTGAACGGTGCCGCAGCGGCATTCGAGATGACGGCACGTGTTGTGGCGTGCTTGTTCATCCCTCGAGGCCGATGTCCCCAGCTGCTGCTATTGCCGTAGGACCCCGATCGCGGTCGGCGTAAAAAGTTGAGATTTCTCGCCATCGCGAGAATCTTGTTAACCCAGTGATGTTGCGCAGCTGAATTTTATGAGATGTCGTGCCTGAGGCAGCCGACATAACGGTCGATGTGCTCCGCCTCATGCATGTATCCCAAATGCTCGCACAATGCCAGAAACCAGCTGGTATAGTCTTGGACGGAACCGAGCTGGCGCTAAGTGCGGAGCTTCTATTGCGCCGCGATCGAAGCCGCGACTGGCTCGAACCTTGCGCGCAGACCTGCACAACATGCGTCCCACGTGCGATATTGGGCTACCTCCACGAAATACGACGGCGTCCAGGGTCCGGTTTCTCCTTCCCGTGATGGCAGACTCTCGTAGTCCGTCGGCTTTGTGGCGATGATGCCTGAACGGTTGGACCACCCCGTTGACTCGGATCGAAGCAAGGCACACGCTGTGGCTTGAGCGGCACAGAAATCGTGACGCGTGGCTGACTCGTGGCCGCATTCGTCGCTCCAATGTGTGTCGTGCCGTGGTCGTCGTCTCCGTCATTGCGGGCGACGCCATCACTGGCCGCGCTCGAGGGTTGACACGTGCTGGGATGCTTGATGTGCTGTGCTTGCGTGCCTGTGCTTGTTGCGTTCGTGCAACGTCATTTTGCAGTTACGTACGCTCTGCCGTCAGAGCCGCAATTTCTTTGGTGCTTTAGTGCAGCTGCTGTAGCAGTTGGTGTGCTCCTGCGTGAGGGTCGTGACGTTGATATGCTCAGCCATGTCAAAGGACAGCGGCTCGTCTTAGCTGCACGCGTTTACGAAAGAATGCGAGGACAACAGCTCCTAGGTGCTAAGGGACGTTTGTCCCTTTAAGTGCAAAAATCAAAAGTTGGTTCACTGCTGGTTCCGAAAATGCGCGGTCCGTAAGAAAGTGGCTCAGATAGCCAAGTGTTGCGGGTGCAATGGAACGAGATAGCTCGGATTGCACTAGGTTGTCAAACTAGTAAAAAAGTATGAGCGAAGGCATAAGCGAATACTTATGTGCGAACATGTTTACGGTAACGTGGTGCATGCGAGCTAGCTAATGCTACGCTGGCGTATCGAGGTTCGGCTAGTCCCGAATCGTAGGCCGACACGGCCGGGCCAGCCAGCAGTGCATGGTTTAGTGAATAGTGCGCGAGAAGGTTGGCAAAGCCCGGTTACCGGTAGTAGCAACGGGCGGTGTTTACGTACGCGGTAAGAAATGCCAAAAATTCCTTACACTCTAACAATCAAGTCACTTTGCGTTTAGCTAGGTAGTCTCTGTAAATATTTTTATACAAATTACGTATTTGTGATACCATTTAGATGTCCATGCATGCATAATGCTAAGATCCATTCTACTCTCACATCATCATAACGTTTGCATCGAATAAGAGAACAGCAAACCTGTACAATGTCAAACACAGAAGCTACAAGTGTGTGTCTGTGTGACCTCTGATCCGAAGCCCACGGTCAGTGTGCACCCATAGCCTGCCCATCCACCACATGCTTCTCCTCCGTGCCCTGCTCCTCCACCCCGTCACCCGCCCCCTGCTGCATGTTCTCTTCCTCTCCTAACCCCTCCTCACCACCACCCACACCTATTGCAGTAGGGCTGCCTGCCGCACTGGCACTGGCACTGGCTGTGCCATTGGCGCTGGCAGCGGTGCTGGATTGGCAGTGGCGCCAGTCAGAGAAGGACGGGGAGATGGAAACAGGGGAGGTAGCGGAGGAGGAAGGGCTGCTGGGATGGGAGGAAGGGGCTGCGAGGGGGGGAGCGGAGAGAGACAGGGTTGCAGGTGCCATGGGGGGTGTGACAGTGTCTGCTGTTCCTGCACTGCTGCCATGCGAGCTCCTGCTTGCTCCTTGTGCTTCCTCCAAACCTTGTGCGTTTTCTGCTCCTGCTGAGCCTGCTGCTGCTCCCGCCGAGCCTGCTGCTGCTCCCGCCGAGCCTGCTGCTGCTCCCGCCGAGCCTGCTGCTGCTCCCGCCAAAGCTGCTGGTGCTCCTGCCATTCCTTCAACCAGACTCACTCGTGCTTCCTGTGACCCACACTCAAAACCATGCTGCTGCTGCTGCTGCTGCTGCTGCTGCTGCTGCTGCTGCTGCTGCTGCTGCTGCTGCTGCTGCTGCTGCTGCTGCTGCTGCTGCTGCTGCTGCTGCTGCTGCTGCTGCTGCTGCTGCTGCTGCTGCTGCTCCTGTTGCTGCTGCTGTTGGTGGTGTGGCACACGAGCATGTGCAAGGGGAGCAGCAGCACTGGAGGCAGCAGGCTGCATCGCCACATCACTCACACCCACCGCACCTGCACTCCCCGCCCGGAACATATGCCCCGCCATGCCTCCCCCATGCCCCATGCTCACACCAACACCCATCTCCAAGCCCAACCCCAAGCTACTCCCCCCACCAGCGTGCACCGCTCCTCCTTCAAGCACAGAGCGCATGGTAGCAGCCCTGACAGCAGTGCTGGGCGCACAATGCATGCTACTCTCCAGTACCAGCCCCACCACTCGCTCCTCCTCTGCCTCCTCCTCCCCGCCACTGCCCCTGGTCACGAGGAATCCACCATCTGTTGGCCCAGGAGAAGGTGAAAAGGAGGGTGCGTGGAAGTGTCCAGGAGCAGGTGCGGCGGTGGGAGCGAAGAGGAAGTGAGTGGTGGGGTTGGCGGAGGAGGGAGAGGGGTAGAAGTGGGAGCGCAGGTGGGAGAGGAACCCGTGGCCTTGGAAGGGGGGGGAGGCGGGTGACAGCACAGGGTGAGCATTGCTGGGAGGAAAGGGCAGGTACAGGCCAGGGGCGGAAGACGGCAGGCTGGATATTCCTGCAGCTGCTGCTGCTGCTGCTGCTGCTGTGGTGGTGGTGATGGTGGCAGCACCGTGTGCTTCTGTGAAGAACTGGGGATGAGTCTGCTCCCCATGTACCGCCCTCCCTGCTGCCATCTCCTCGCTCCCTGCCAGCTCTGCCCGGCTGTGCCCCCCTTCTCCTGCACCACCTTCTGTCCTCTCCTCCAGCCCCACCACCCTGCCACTGGAAGCCGTCCGCAGCAGCGGCCCTCCTGCTCGCATCCACGCCAACATCGCATTCTCCCTCTCCCGCTCCCTCTCGCCATCGCTGTCGCTGCTCTCACCCCCCGCCGCCGCCGTCGATACCCCGGTCCCAGCCGCCGCCGCGGCAGGCAGGGCAGCGGCAGCAGCAGCCCCATCCTCATCCAGGGACCCCCAGGAGCTCTCCCGAGCAAACTGGTTCCACGAGGGGATACGCTTCCTGAACGACCCACGCGCTGCACCATTGCTTCCCCACACCCCACCCGTGCCTGCGGTCGTCCCCCCTGATACTCCCCCTGCGCCCACTGGAAGCCCTGTCACCGTGCCTGCTGCTCCTGCTCCTGCGCCCCCCTGCGCCCCTCCCCTGCCCCGCTCTTCCCCTGTTCCTGCACCATGCGCAGCAGCCATGAGCGGCAGCGACGGGTGCGAGAGCGTGCGGGCAGCAGGGGAGAGCGCGGGCCCAAGGGTGGCGCCGCGCCCGGCAGCAGCAGCGGCAGCGGTGGGAGGAGGAGGTGGGCGGTGGCGGTGCAGGATGGAGACGCATTCGTCCAGCATGAGCTCCACTCCACAGTGTGCGCGGATGGCACTCAGCCGCTCCCACGTACCGCGCCGGCCCTGCTGGATGGCCGCCCGCAGCTCGGATGGCGTGGGGTTCTGAATGATCTTGGCGAACTGGACGGGGGAAGAGGGGTGGGTGGGTGGGTACGAGGGATACGGGGAGAAACGGTGAGGAGGGAGGCGCACAGGAGGGGGGCAAGCGACGGTGTGAATGGAAGGATGGAGTGGGGTTCTGACAGATCTTGGCGAACCGGCAGCGGGAAGGGGAGTGGGTGGGTGGGGAGGTGGGTGGAGGGGGGCGGGGGAGAGAAGGTGGGGAGGGAGGCGCACAGAAGGGTGGCAAGTGACAGCGTGAAGGGGAAGAATGAGCTGTGACACTGCTCTGCTGCTGCTGCTGCTACCCATGTTAACACACTTGCCTGGCTGCAGCCTGCCTGGTTGCATGACATTCGATTCGACCCTTCATTCCCCTGTTGAAAAGCGTATATTCAATTTCCCCTCCACCCACTCAGCCACCCCATCTCCCTCACCCCAAAACGCCACATCCCTTCTGCCACACGGCCACACACCCCTCCCCTCCCAACACCACTCCACCACTGCCACATCTCTTCCCACCGCACAGCACCGCACTGTACCTGTGCGAGCGTGGCGTGCATGACAATGGTGATGTCGCCCTCCCATGCCTGCGCAAAGAGCTTGGCCAGCCCGCCCACCCTCCACCCCACGGCCAGCGCCTGCTCACACCGGTGCTTCAACTCCATCTCCGCTAACTGTGCCAACTGCAGGTGAAAGGAACAGGAAGAACACGAGGGGGGTGGGAGGGTGGGGAGGGGAGGGCGGAGGGTGGGGTGGAACGGGAAGAAGGGGGTGTGGGAAGGGGAAGGAAGTTTGAGGGGGGAAACGGCGAGAAGGGAGGGAAATGGAGGGATGCAGTGGGTGACGAGTTGCGGGTGCAACCCCATCGCCACCCCACGGCCAGCGCCTGCTCACACCGGTGCTTCAACTCCATCTCTGCTAACTGCGCCAACTGCCAGGGGAACGAGGCAGAACAGGAGGGGGAGGGGGGAGGGGGAGGGGGAGGGAGGGAGGGGTGGGGGGGAGGTGAGGGGGAAGAGGGGTTTGGTGAAGGGGGAGGGAGATTGAGGGGGGGGGGAGCGATGACAAGGGGAGTAAAATGAAGCAACGCAGCAAGTGACGGCTCGTGGGTGGGTGGGGGTAGATGGGAGCAACGTGATCATCCAATCAGGGTGGCGCCATGGAGAAATGCGTCGAGTTGAGCACAGCCAGGTCACAGAAAACACCTCGCCCACCACCACCACCACCATCTCGCCCCCCCTCCCTTTTCCCCCCACTCACAGCCCCATTCCCTCCCCACCTCACCCCCTAAAACCCAACCCCCAACCCCCACCCTCCCCTTCCCCCCTCCCCCCATTAGTACCTTGGCGGCCCAGTCCCCTCCGTAGACGCGGCAGGCGTCCTTGAGGCGGAGCAGGGGGGCGATGTGGGGGTTGGCCTGGGAGACGATGAAGTGGTTCACGTTGAACTGCTCGCGCAGCTCCTGCATCGGCAGGTCGCTCTCCAGACTCCCGTCCCTCCACGCCCGCTGCTTCACCGCCGCTGCTGGCTCCTCCGGCCCCGCCTGCCATTGCGACCACGGCAAGCACGGCACGAACGGCAAGCACATGTGGGGCGCGTAGGGTGGAGGTGAGGAAAGAGGGTTGACACAGGTAAGGTGAGAAGGCGGAGGGGAAGGAAGTGTGTGGGGGGCGCAGGGTAACGGTGGTGATACAGGGGAGCAGAGGTGGGGAAGCAGGGGAGCGGGGCGGAGGGTTGAGTGGCGGGGTGGGAAGGAAGGGAATGTGGAAAGCAAGTGGGTGTGCATGGGGTGGAGGGGGAGAGAAGGGGATGCGGAATTAGCGACGGGAGGAGAGGAGAAGTGAGATAGCAATGTGTTTGTGTGCGTATAACTGGTTGCTGGTGCAGCTGCGTGGTGCTCATCACTCAAGTGCAGTGCAAGGCATGGCCATGTTCCATCTTGTACTCATCATCCCCCTTCCCAGCCCCCTCCAGTGCCTCTTATCCCCTCCCAGTGCTTCCCTCCCATCCCATCCCCTCCCCCTCCCACCACACTGCCACTTCCCATCTTCACCCACCCACCACTCCCATTGTGGTCAGAAAGAAAACAGTGCAATGCGTTGCTCACCTCGGAGGGCATGTGGAAGGGCACGATGCGGCCGCTGCTATCTTTAGCCATGAGCTCCTGTGCTTCGAACAGCCCTGGGAACGCGCACGAGGCTGTGACCGCGCTCCAGATCACCACGTGCGGCGCGCTGAGGTACGTCAGCAGACGGTGCGGCTCCTGTGGGCGCATGGAACACACTGGGATGCCCAGCACTCGCCCTGCTCGCATGCACGCACACCACACGCAGCAGCCAGTAGCCAGCAGGCACCACCCCACACCCAGCACCCAGCAGGGAACACATGCAGCAGGCAGCAGGCAGCAGGCAGCAGGTAGCAGGCAGCAGGCAGCAGGGAGAAGGCAGCAGGGAGAAGGCAGCAACAAGGATCCAGAGAGCAGGTATACAGGTCACGATCTGAGTACAATAGGGGAAACGAGTCGTGCATGCGAGTAGCAGTGCAAGATACCCTTTTTATTGTGTTTGACAAGGATATTTATGTGCATTGTGAAAGGAGGGTTCCTTCCTTCCTTCCATGGTACCTATGCATGCGATTTGCTCGTATGGATGGAGCCTTAAACTGTGCGTCTTGTTGTCATGCGGAAATACTGAATTGTGTGACCATGCAGGTCTGAACAAACTTGTTTGAAGGGGTAAAGATTGCACTTCCTCATGCGCCCTTGCCCCCACGCTCTTGCCCCCACGCTCTTGCCCATACGCTCTTGCTCATACGCCCTTGCTCATACGCCCTTGCCCGTGCGCCCTTGCCCATATGCCCTTGCCCGTGCGGTTGCGCAATTTCCGAGAACACAAGCCAGACGCACCTGAGAGATCGTATGCTTCCTGGAAGGTGAGGTCCCCAATGAGCTGCCTGAGGCGGCGCTGCAGCACGCCAATCTCCCCAATGGCCCCGCGCACCAGCAGGCGCTGCGCCGTCGCAAACACCGACCCCATGCTCTCAAAGAACGTCAGGCTCTGCATGTTCTCCTCGAAAAACGCCTGCAGCTCCGAACCAGAGCGCGTGGCCACGAACGAGCAGATAATCGACCCCACAGACGCGCCTGCTAGCACGCGCGGGAGCATGCGGTGCTCTATGAGGGTGCGGACGACGCCCAGGTGGAACGCGCCCAGGGCTGCGCCGCCCGAGAGGAGGAGCGCTGTGCGGCCGAAGGCGTGGCGGGTTTCGTGGATGAATGCGAGCTTGGCGTCGCGCGGGAAGGCGTCGGCGTGCGAGTCGCACACGGCGCGCAGGTGGAAGCGCACCTCGTCTATGTACTCCTCTATTAGGCGCGGCATCTAATGGGGTGGGGGTAGGGGCAGGTAGAGATGGGAGGAGCGGAGGGAGAGGGGGGGTTGGGAAAGCAACGGAGGAATGGAGTGCGCAGGTGGAAGCGCACCTCGTCTATGTACTCTTCTATTACGCGCGGCATCTGCACGGTGAGGGGCGGCGGGACGGAAGGGGGAGCAGTGAAAGGAGGGGGAGGAGTGAGGGGAGGGAGAGGGGAGAGGGGGAGGGAGGGAGGAGACGGAAATGGTACGCGAGGGACGGAGGGAGGGGGGGGGGGGGAGGGGGAGAGGAGGGAGGGAGGGATGGAAGGAATGGGGAGGGGAGGAGGGGAAGGGGAGAACAACGGACGGACACCGTACAGCACAACCCATCCACTCGCTCACCATCTCGCCCGTTCCCCAACCTTCGTTGCGCCTGCAGCGCGCCTCTCCTCTCCTCGCCTTTAGAGGCCATCGCGTCACGGGTCTAGCGTCTAGCGCGTTACCTGCAGGCGGCCCTGGTGCAGCTGCGGGTTGCACATGTTGCCGAGGTTGCGCAGCAAGTCGGAGCGCATGGCGAACACGATGCCCTCCACGCCGCCCTCCAGCCGCCGCCGCCGCAGGTCCACCAGCTTGGCGCGCAGCAGGTCCTCGTCGTATAAATCCGAGTCCTGCCGCGGCCGCGGGTGGGCGACGGAAGGGACGGGAAGAGAGGGGGAAGGGGAGGGGAGGGAGGGGGGAAGGGGGAGGGTGGGGGGATTGTGGGGGAAGGGGAGGGGAAGAGCGCAGCGTAAATGAGCTGGGGGACCGAGGGTCTGAGGGACCGAGGGACGGAGGGACTGACGGACTGAGGGACTACGGCGGCAAGCGGAACAAAACGGGTGCGGGGCGACGAAGAGTCCGCATCTCGACGCGCAGCACGTGTTCGCAGAGCAGCGCACGCAGCCCCGCGGCGATGGGAGTGGCCGTGGTGGAGGGGACGACACGAGGGCGGGGCGAGACAGGCGACCGCAACGTTGCGACGTGCGGGCTTGGACCGCTATGAAGCATGGCCCCGCGCATGGGACTAGTATTGAGTCGACTCAATAATCAGCCTTGGCCGTCATGAAGAATCAGTCCCCGCGCATGCCACTACCGCCCGCGACACGGGTCCCACTGCCGTCGCGTTCACTCGCGACTCGGGACAACTGCAAGTCTTACCTCCTCCCCTCTCGTCCCTCCTCTCCTGTCTTCCCCACTCCCACTCCCTTCCTCCTCTCCTCCCTTCATTCGCTCCATTTGGCCTCACCCGTCGCTCGCTCTCACCCGTCGCCTCGGTTGGTACTTCTCGAGCATCGCCGCGGCGTGCGCCCACTCGTCGTACGTGAGCGCCGTCGCCATGAGATTCGCCCAGAACTTGCGTCGCACAGCCATCTCCGCCTTGAACGATCGCAGGCGATATCGCCTGACGATGAGCGCACCGAGGACGACCGTACCGAGCACGAACCCAGGGTTGCGCGGGTTGAGGCTCGTCCACGCTCTCCGAACCAGCATGGCGAGGAACTTTTGAAGCTTCGCAACTCGGTTGACGAGCCGGTGGCGAAGGATCGCAAGGAGTCGCTGAAAGGAGTCGCAGAAGATGAGGCGAATGGCGACTGCTCGCTCAGCGAGAGTCGCCGGAGCGAGTCTGAAAAGGTCGACGACTGCCTCCTCTGCGGACTCCATGGCGTGGGAAGATGATAGCGACGAAGCTCGAAGCAAGGCTGAGCTAGCTACTTGTTTGACAATACCTAAAAGCCAGAAGCTTCACGGATACTAAAGCTTACGACTTCTCTTGGCCATTGCTTGTCCTCGATCCTGCCCTGCAGACGTAAAGGTATGTTCGCAGATAATAATACACCTCATGCCAGCTCAACGTCGTGTTGTTATGACTCACGACACCTCATGCCTATCTATTCTTCCTGACGTGGAGAAAAAATAGCGAGCCCAGCAAGCACTTTTTTGTGGTTCCTGCTTCCTCTCCCCTCCCCTCCACCAACCTGGTGGGCCAAACCACTGATGCTGCCGGGGCTGGCTGGCAGGGCTCCACCAACCAGAAGGCCTTACGAACCTTTCAACCAACCAATCAGCTCTCCGCCGCCGCCGGAGCCCTGGTTCGGGCGTCCAAGCAAGCTGATGTCTTCCCCCTCCCTCTCATGTCCGCTTCGGCGCTGCCACATCTGATTTGTTTGGCGCTTTGTTTGGATTTTCGAACCACCAAAAACGCTGGACGGTTTGGGAGCTTCGGTAAACTCGGAAAGTTAGGGCGTGGAACATCTGAGATTTTTTTGCCAAACGAACGGTACGGTTAGGAAGGTTACAACTCTGAAACTTACCATAAACTTAGGGCGTGTTGCAAGTGCAAAAAACGATCGCGGCGTCGAACCGATCCGCTATACCGAGTGTCAAACTGTATGTTTGTGTTCTCTCTAGGCTATATTGGGTTAGCCTACAAGGGGTACAACACTTTAAGGTTAGGTACTTGTACTCATGCATGCTACCTAGTCCATCATTCCTACCTGCTTATTCTAACATGGTATTAGAACAGAATCGTTCCTAGGGCCCACCGAACGTTCCGCCCTGCCCTACCCGTAAAATTTTCTTCCTACGCTGCCCCTGCAGCCGCACTGCCCTTGCAGCCTGCGCGCTACCCCTGCGACCGCGCTGCCCCTGCAGCCGTGCTCGCCCCTGCGACCGCGCTGCCTCTGCAACCGTCCTCGCCCCTGCGACCGTGCTGCCCCTGCAGCCGTACTCGCCCCTGCGACCGTGCTGCCCCTGCAGCCGTGCCTGCCCCTGTGGCCCGCGCGCTGCCCCTGCAGCCCGTGCGTCGCCCCTGCAGCCCGAACGCCGCCCTACCGAGCCGCGCATCGCCCCTGCGGCCCGCGCGCCGCCCTGCCGAGCCGCGCGTCGCCCCTGCAGCCCGCGCGTCGCCCCTGCAGCCCGTGCGCGCTGCCCCTGCAGCCCGCGCGCCGCCCTGCCGAGCCGCGCGTCGCCCCTGCAGCCCGCGCGTCGCCCCTGCAGCCCGTGCGCGCTGCCCCTGCAGCCCGCGCGCCGCCCTGCCGCGCGCGTCCCCCCTGCATCCCGCGCACCGCCCTGCCGGGCCGCCCGTCGCCCCTGCAGCCCGCGCGCCGCCCGGCCGAGCCGCGCGTCGCCCCTGCAGCCCGTGCGCGCCGCCCCTCCAGCACACGCGCCGCCCTGCCGAGCCGCGCCGCCCAGCCCAAGCCGCGCCGCCCAGGCCGAGCCGCGCCGCCCTACTACTACAACTGCTGCTGCTGCTGCTCGTTCTACTGCTGCTGCTAGTGGAGGTTCTGCTGGGAGTACTGGAGGTACGGCCGCCCAGCCCCACCGAGCCGCCTCGCTGCTGCTACTACTGCTGCTGCTGCTAGTCGTGCTACTGCTGCTACTGGTGGAGGTGCTGCTGGGGAGTGCTGGAGGTGCGGCCGCCCAGCCCCACTGAGCCGCCCTGCTGCTGCTACTACTGCTGCTGCTGCTACTCGTGCTACTGCTGCTGTTGGTGGAGGTGCTACTGGGAGTGCTGGAGGTGCTGCTGGTGTTGGAGGAGCCGGAGGTGCTGGACCTCCTCCTGACCGTCAGTGTCTGTCATGGCCACTCTCGCGGCAGTTGCTGCGGCCAGGGGTGGACAGCAGCGGGCACTGCCTCTCCCGGACGACCCCAACCCTCAGCAGCTTCGTGAGTGGGTTGTTCAGCGAGGCAGTCCTGGTGGTGGAGGTTTTGGTTATACGTGGCCTAAGCGACCTCGCGACTGTGCTTCTCAGCGATGCGTCCCTGGCTGTGTAGAGGTTACTGCTCTCGGTTCTAGTGAGTCTGCTGCTGCTCCAGGTGCTGGTGAGTCTGCTGCAGCTCTAGGTGCCCGTGAGTCTGCCGACGCTCTAGGTGCTAGTGCGTCTCCTGCCACAGGTCCTGCCTCAGCTGAGGTCTTGCACACTTTCACGCTTGACTCAGGCGCGTCACGTTGCTTCTTTCATGATTGCACCACAGTCACACCACTCGCAGCACATGTCCCAGTCTCACTGGCTGACCCCTCTGGGGGCCCAGTAGTTGTGCGAGCCTCCACTGTCCTCCCTTGTCCAGCAGTCCCCTCCGGTTCTCTGTCAGGTCTCCACCTCCCCACGTTCTCGACGAACTTGGCGAGCAACGCTGCCATTCAGGATGTCTGGGTTGATACCTTTATTCCTGGAGGGCAGCGTGTGGCGATCTGTACGTGCTCCCGGACTGGCCGTCACCTGGCTACGTTCACTCGCCAGCCTGGGTCTAGTTTGTACACACTGACCACTGCGTCTGCACAGGTGGCTGAGTCAGGTCAGGTGGCTGCGTCGAGTCGGGCGTCTGCGTCGGGACAGTTAGCTGCGTCTTTCTCGTGCAGAGTACTCACGCACGAGACTCAGCGCTGGCACCACCGTCTTGGTCACCCCTCCTTGCCGCGTCTACGCAACATGCACTCCCGTCTCCTTGTCTCTGGCCTCCCCAGGACCCTGCCCCCCCTGCCGCGCTCGCTTGCCCCGCCGTGCCTTCCTTGCGTCGAGGGGCGGCAGCGCGCCGCTCCTCACTCCTCCGAGTTTCCTCCGACCACTGCTCCTCTGCAGACTCTCCACATGGATGTGTGGGGCCCGGCCCCCATCGGTGGAACGGACCGCGAGCACTACTTACTGCTGGTTGTTGACGACTACACACGCTACACCACTGTCTTCCCCTTGCGGCGCAAGGCGGACGTCAGCGGTGTCCTGATCCCGTGGATCCGTGCTACTCGTCTCCAGCTGCACGAGCGGTTTGAGCAGGACTTCCCAGTCCTGCGTCTGCACTCTGACAGGGGCGGTGAGTTCTCCTCTGACCTCCTTGCAGGGTTCTGTCGAGACGAGGGCATCCACCAGACGTTCACGCTTCCGGCCTCTCCTCAGCAGAATGGGATTGCTGAGCGTCGCATTGGCTTGATCATGGAGGTTGCTCGCACCTCCATGATCCATGCGGCTCCTCCCCATTTTCTGTGGCCGTTTGCGGTCCGATACGCTGCGCATCAGCTCAACCTCTGGCTCCGTGGCTCTGTGCCAGAGACCTCGCCCACCCTCCGGTGGACGGGGAAGCCTGGTGATGCGTCAGTGTTTCGGGTCTGGGGCGCGCTCTCCCTTGTTCGCGATTCCAAAGCGAGCAAGCTCTCCTCTCGCACTCTCCGCTGCGTCTTCCTTGGCTTCCCCACAGACGCCCCGCCGTGGCAGTTCTACCACCCGCGTTCGCGTCGAGTCTTCTCCTCCCAGGACGTCACCTTTGACGAGTCTGTCTGTTACTACCAGTTACACCCGCACGCGTCCCACCCGGTTCCCCTAGCACCCCTCTTCCTGGTACCAGTCCCCCCCCCGGTAGACCCCCTCCCCCCACAGGGTCCTGCTCCCTCAGGTGTGTCTCAGGCCGACCCACCCCCCTTGGATGAGCCAGTGGAGATCTCTTCTGACTCCTCTGGCCCACCTGAGGGGGGTGACCCAGTTGCGGACGACACGGCGGCCACTCGCCGCTCTCCACGCTTGGAAACCCCCCCGGGTTTTCCGCCTCGACCGTCTTCGCCGCCTCCGCAGCCTGCTGCTGTGGACTCTGGTGCCGAGACTACAGGTGCTGAGCCAGGGGGTGAGGGCTCTGGAGGTGCTGTACCTGGGGGTGCTGGTTCTGGGGGTGCTGCGACTGGGGGTGCTGACTCTGGGGGTGCTGCGAGTCCTAGTGGCAGTGGAGTTGTGGGTGACCCTGTTGGAGGTCCTGGAGCTGGAGGTACTGGAGCTACTAGGCTTGGAGGTACTGCTGGAGGTGCTAGAGCTACCACTACTGGAGGTACTGGAGCTGGATATCCACCGCAGCCTGCTCTACTTGAGACGCTCTCGCCGCAGGCGATTCGTGCGTGGGTCGTTCAGCGAGGCATTCCTGGTGGTGGAGGGTACGGTCCTGCTGGTGCTGGAGCTACTAATCCTGGAGGTGCTGCTGGTGCTGGAGGTGCTGGAGGTACTACTGGAGGTACTAGAGGTGCTGCTGGTGCTGGAGGTACTGGAGCTGCTAGGCCTGGAGGTACTGCTGGAGGTACTAGAGGTGCTACTGGTGCTGGAGGTACTGGAGCTGCTAGGCCTGGAGGTGCTGGAGGTGCTGCTGGTGCTGGAGGTACTAGAGGTGCTGCTGGTGCTGGAGGTACTGGAGCTGCTAGGCCTGGAGGTACTGCTGGAGGTACTAGAGGTGCTACTGGTGCTGGAGGTACTGGAGCTGCTAGGCCTGGAGGTGCTGGAGGTGCAGCTGGTGCTGGAGGTACTGGAGCTGCTGCTGGTGCTGGAGGTACTGGAGCTGCTAGTACTGGAGGTGCTGCCGGTGCTGGAGGTACTGGAGCTGGAGGTACTGGAGCTGGTGGTGCTGGAGGTTCTACTGTTACTGGAGGTGCTGGGGGTGCTGGAGCTGCTGGCACTGGAGGTGCTGGTGCTACTGGTGCTGGAGCTGCGGGAGCTGCTGACCCTGGCGGTGCTGGTGCTGCTGGTGCTGGAGGCGCTGGAGCTGGAGGTACTGGAGGTGCTGGAGCTACTGGTCCCGGAGGTGCTCGTACTGGAGGTGCTGGAGCTGCCGGAGCAGGTGGTGCTGCTGGTGCTGGAGGTGCTAGAGGCGCTGGAGCTAGAGCTGGAGGCACTGGAAGTGCTGGAGGTACTACT